ATAGTTATAGTGTATATATACATATATATAAATATTATATATATATCTACTTGAAGGATCGTGGTGCTTGTTATGTGGTTCCGAGGGTTGGTCGGTTTAAGTATGTTTGCTAACTTAAGATATATTCAGCATAACACAACATATATATCTCTCAAGTTGTGCAAGAGAGTTGCAGCATTTAGTAAGTGATGCCGTTCAGATATATGTAGAAACACGGATTAGTTACCACTTGCAGGCATTACTAACAACTTATGTTAACTGGAACAAGCACAGCGTACACACTTAGGCAGCTTAGCAAATGGAGATGTATGTACTTATAAGTCAGTTATCTTTCTGCGTAAGTAGATATGCATGTCTTACAAATCTCCGTGTTCATGGGGCCAAAGCCCTGCCAGGTTGGGTTTTCCGAGGCAGTGCGTCTCGGCCGTCGATGGCATTGGCGCCCTCAGGAGGTGCCGCCCCCCCGTGCATTTGCAGCTGCATGTTAGAAAGTCAGTGCCGCTGTGCAGAGTGCAAGTCATTTTCATGAGAAGCATGTCACTGTTGCATGTTGGGCATTATATTGGCATGAACCCGACCTGCAGGGCAGTTTGCTCGCGGGCAGGGACATGCATATATACATTTGCATGCTGCTTTGGCTTATAAGACACGCATATACATTGTCCTTCCCGATCGACACACGGCATCACGGCATGGCTTTGTCTACGGAGCTGGTTGCGGAGCTCTCGGCGAAGTTGTCGCAGGTGCAAGAGGGAGACCGACTAGTGAAAACAGTGCATGCGGCAATCGCCCAACTCGAATCCCGGGGTCACGTTTACTCCATGCAACTGGCGCCGGCGATGGTAGGCATTAGCCGCCAGAATAGAGACGGCAGCGGGATTAATCCCGTGGATGTGCACGATCTACTGGGCGACATCATCTCTGCCGGCTGGCTCGACTCCAGAGTTCAGGCAATCGCTCATGAACCGACGGGACAGGAAGACATCGACTGGAACGTGCGCCTCTTCGAGTCCATGCACAACCGCTGTGGGCCCATCGAGCCCACAATGATCAAGGCACTCTCCCTCGCGGGTTCGCATACAAACTCGGTTCTTCGTTGTTTCCACTATGAGGTCATGCATGACGGAGACGAGTCTGTTTGCCATGAAGGGCGGCTGAGCATGGAGTTGCTTCGGCGCCACGATCCTGAGTTCGCGAGGGCGGCTCGCGAAGGAGTGGTTTGGAAGATTTTGTCACGACACGTCGCTGCCCAGCTGCCGCAACTTCTCGGGCTAGTCCAAAGGATGGGGAACGCTACCCTTCACCGTGGGGAGCATGAGCTCCAGCTCATGAGGCGTCTACATCAGACTTGGGTCCAGATGAGCTCTCAGGGTGCTGTAGACTTCCTGGCCTTGAAGAACAAGGTAACGACAGGCAAGTCCGTGCATGGCAAGTCCATGCCGCACCTTTACAGCTTTGTGTTAAAGACCGCGGGGGGCACGGATCCATTTTTGCTCAACGAAACAGAGACCTTCGTCAGGCTCCATTCCCCCAGTACACGTTCGTTGGGGGCCGCGTTTTGGGAGAAGGTCAGTGCCGATGTCAAGGGTTCGAACCAATTCCCACGGTTCCGGCATGCCATGGCCACTTCATGCACTTTCATGCATGCATGCAATCATGTGTCACATGTTGCATGGGAACTCACGCATGTTGGCCGAGGTTGCTTGTTTTTGCTGATCTCAGGTGAAGCTGGCCTACTGCAGAGAAGCAGTGAGCCTAGCAGACTTGAAAAAAATGATGAGTAAGGACATGTTGGGCAGTGTCAGAGATGCGGATGGCATGATGACCGAGTGGCGCAAAATCGTGACGTCCATGGGTGACACGATTGACACGGCACGCATGCATGAGATCCACAGGGCTCTGAGCTATGGAGANNATCCTTGACGGGGGAAGACCTGCAGAAGTACCAGTGCAAGGAGTCCTTAGCCCATGACGTGGTAGTGATTCTTGAAGGCATCGGGCAAGTGAAGCTGGCCTCTCCCTGGGCAGCGCACGAGGTGAAGTCAACGGCTGCTCCTGCAAGTTCATCAAGCCAGCCTGCACGGAAGTCCATCATGCGAGAATTGGCCGCGGATGGTTCGGTCAAAGACTCTGCAGACCTGCTGAAAGAGGCCGGCTTCGAAGCCGGACAGCACGTCCGTCGCAAGGCCGATCAGGAGAGTGGGGAGATCCTGTCGGTGGAGAAAGGCCGAGTTCGATTGAAGCAGGCAGGCGGCGATGTAGTCAGGGTATCCATGGACGGATTCTTGGCAGGGGAATGGTCCGTGTTCATCCCAAAACCTGAGCCCCACGTGATTGAAGACGTTTTCCAGTATTTCCCCACACAGAGCCCCGAGTACCAGAAGCAAAAGCTGCTGGCAGAGCTTTACCTGGACATGCACGAGTTGTTTGAGAAGCATTCCCAGAATCCGTATTTGAGCAAACTTCGTCTGTTGCTGAAACCTCGGAAAGCCGTGGAGGTGACTGGCACAATCCCCAAGCAGAAGCTGTTTCTCTGCCCTGCGTCAGTACAGATCAAGCACAGCTCCAAACAACCCGAAGATGCCATGTTCCAGATTGGCACACCGATGGCCGATTGTTACTTTTGGGTTCAGCCGTACATGCAGTTGCCCAAAGCCGAGGGCGATGCTGCAGGATTCCTGAATCCAGCCTTCCTCGTTCAGGGTCTGACAGATGCGGAGGGCTTGAATATGGAGGTGATCCATGTGAAAAGCACGAGGAACAAAGGCGTGCTCCTCCCATTGCTCCGAAACATGAATGCATTGCACCAGGGCGACACTCTCTTCATGCACAAGCAGGGCAAGTCTGTCAATGTGGAGCCGTTGAAGCAGGATGTCACCCCGCCCAGGACACGGCACAGCACAAAGAGGCCCTTGGAGGATCCATGAGAGGAACCTGCAACACGGTGTATATAGAACATGTCTGTGAGGAGCCTGGACAAGCCCTCGAAGTATCATGGCACGTGTCATGCATATGCATTTCAAGATCTGGCTTGGTCAGTCAGTGCTGATGGAGGCGACGGTCCTGTTGCAAAGAGACCGCATGCATGAGCGATGGATGTTAGCACTGTCATGGAAGGCATGACTTTCGAAGGTCACATGTATATGACTCCTCATGCATGTCATGTGGCTACATGCACATGCAGGATGCAGCATTTCCTGCTTTGAAGGTATATCTTGATTCGATAACCAGCCCCTTTCAAACATGGATCCTGAAGCGTCATCAGCAGAAGAAGAACATGATCCAGAGTCGGTCGCCGTGATGACTCAGAAGGTCGTTAAGTATGGAAAACAAGTGTGGGTGCCCACACAGAAGGAGGAGCAAGGAACGGTTTGGTTCCTCCTGCAGAAATGGGATCGGAGCTTGGTGCGGTTCGTTCATGGGAAAGGGTTGGATCTCCGGGCCAAGAAAAAAGATGCCTCGGATGTTCGTGTCTCTCTTGACAACATCTACTTTGAAAAATTGCTCTCTGCTCGCCAGTCGGCCTTCAACGAGGCAGTCGCAGCGAGATTGCAGGAGGAAAGCAGCGAGGAGAATGTGGGAAAGAAGCAAAGCAAGAATGCCAAGAAGAAACAGAAAGAGTTTAAGGCGACCGTGAAGCACCAGATGTATGCACCGCACAACGTGTCCATAGAGCTGCCGTCCGAGAACGATGGGACAAAGTTGACTTGTCGATGCCTCTTTGAGGGATTGGGCTCTCGAGGTGTTTGGCTTGAGTTGACCCAGGATGTTCTCCAGCACGTGCGACATGGGATGAAGTCGTCAGAGATCAAAGAAAGGAAGCGAGCCCCCAAAAGAAAGCGGGCACCTAAGTCCTAGATCGTGCGACAGCAGGGCAGATTGCTCGCTGGCAGCCATGCATATGTAGAGGTGTACATGGGCATGTGTGCATGCGTGTGCAGCGAAGTCTTCCATCGGATATGTGGCCACGAGAAAGCAGTTCTTGCCTGAGTGAATGCTCTTTTGTCCGGACTTGTTGCAGTTCTTGTTGCTGATGCATATATAGCTCTCCCGTCCCGCTTGCCTTTCAGGCTTCGCAGAGCTCCATGAATGGGGCTCGATCGGGCAATCATGCATGCTGTCTGCAGCCAGGTACGTGCAGCCACATGGTATGTATACTCACATGTGTGTTGAATTGTCATCCAGGCACTTTCGCACTCAGCTGGCATGGCTTCTGTCTAGATTTGTTTACGGCTTGACACGTTCCAGCCATGGCTCGCTACAGCTGCAGCATTCAATGTTCGGACCAGGACATGCACAGATATCACGTTACCGTGGCCCAAACCCGTATAAGCTTGTAAGTGCTTGGCAGGATTCTGCTGAATACTACTGGTTCAATGCCGCTGGCCTCCTCGGAGGCTTTGTCAAGAACGAGGCCGGAGATCGTCCTATGTAGATTTTCATATCAAACTTCGTCTGCGATATTGCAGGAGAACGACAACACATGGGCCGCCCATGGTGCCACTATGGGATGGAGCAAAAAGAAAGGATGGAGGATTTTGGACCACGAAGGCCATGCATGTGTGCTCTTGCGTATTCAATCATTATAACATCATCGGCAGGACATAGCCTCTACTTCAAGAACCCGGCTAGTGGATCGGAGCCACCACAAACAGGCCTTCTGAATATTTTTGCAAAACCATGGAGTGTGCTGTGCATGTGTGTTGGAGGCTGGCTGTGTCAAGACTGGGACAACAAGTGGATTGAGTCCACTCTTTTCTTGGAGCCCGTGGAGGACGGCTTCAAAAGTCTATGTGTGCAGCGACTTTTGTGATTTTAAGTTCCAACCCGTGAGGCTGACGATGACGATGGCCTTCAGGAGGTGACGGTGGAGGCCCCAGCATGCATGCCTTGCTGATGTACCAACGTGAATTTGTGCCGCACCATATATTATGACGACAGGATCCCGGGTACTTGCCGCCGAAGCCCAAGGTTGCTCCAAAGGCGAAGAAGAGGCGGGGAGCCGTCTTTATACACAGCCGCGGGAACCGCCTTAAGCACACTGCCTTAGGCCTCAGACAGACGAGGCTCGTCTCGAAATTCGTTGGTTTCTTCGTGCTCCATATTCAAACTTCTATGTTAGATTGCATGCAGAATGGTCGCAGCGGCCCCGGGGGCTCCGCAAAAGCCGAGGCCCCTGTGCTATATATATTGTCCGGAAATATGATTTGGTCTGTGTCCATGCAGGAAGACAAGCCGGGGACCGGAAAGGCCAGGGCCCTACTCGAAGGATCGTGGTGCTTGTTCTGTGGTTCCGAGCCACAGCATTGTTGGCATGAGGCAGCTCGTGGAAAGAAGGATCTCAAGGCCCGGATTCAAAGTTTTTTTATATATATCGTTCCATGCATGGCCGTGAACTCTGAAGGTGCCTGAGCCTGCCGGCCCTCCTCCTGGGAAGGCCCTCTCAAGAGCATCATGCGAACCTCCTCCCAATGTAACCGGTCCTCACGAGGTACGGAAGACAGGGCCCGAGGAGCCGAAGCACCCGCCGAAGGGACGGCAGGACCGGGCCAGCAGCCACCAGATTGAGTATATCAATAATTGATAAGAAAGTGTTCTCGCGAGGCGGGTGCAGGCCAGCGGAGCTCCAGCTCCAAGGACCGGGTCCCCATCATCATGTCATCTAGAACAATGCATATATTCCTGTCAGGATGGCGGTTCGGGGTGGACCCCAAATCCGCCACCGCCGGCAGTGATGCCGAAGAAGGTGCAGGACTGCTTGTGCATGTAAGATATCGCACACACTTACTCGTGCAGGCGCCGCCGCCACCCCCGCCGGGGATGGTGGTCCCCGATGGCCGCGGATGGCGTGCAGGGGGCTACTGGTGGGATCCAGAGACGGAGAAGTGGAGCCCGCTGGGGTCTTGTGCATGCATGCAACAGAAACCTTGCACCACACTGGTGCATGCACCCAGGCCCGGAGGTGGTCGTGACCGCGGCCGCACACGGGGCCAAGGAGCCATGAACTCCGCCTGGACATCCGCATCTCGGCTGCCATGCATGCATGACACATGCCGGTCGCGACTCTTAATGTGCTCGATAAAACTAAGATGGTGACGATGAGCAACACCGTGGCCCAGCTGGTGGAGCGGACTCTGGAGGCCACTCCGTCGCCACTGCCAGCGAGCAAGCATGCCCTGCTGACGTGCGAGTGGGATTGTCATGTTTGTTGTTGGCAGGACACCCGGCGGAAGTGAGGGCATGAATGGCCCCTGAAATTGGTGCCGGCCGCGGGGGGCACCGGGACTGCGCTTGAGCCGGTGGGTTCTAAAAGCTTTAAAGACAGGTTTCGGCCTTACTTTTTCGGGGAAGCGATTTTTATAGATCTATAAATCTGGGGTAGTTGCTGGGAGCCGGTTTTTATAGATCTATAAATCTGGGGTGGTTTTCGGGAGCCCGTTTTTATAGATCTATAAATCTGGGGTGATTGTTGGCAGCCGGTTTTTATAGATCTATAAATCCGGGGTGGTTTGTGGGAGCCGGTTTTTATAGATCTATAAAACTGGGGCGGTTTGTGGGAGCCGGTTTTTATAGATTTATAAAAATGGTTGTATTTGGGTTTTGCCGGTTTTATAGATCTATAAAAACCCGGTGTCCCAAAACAAAGCTAGCTCTCTAGTCCAAACTTAAAGAAATCTATCTCCGGTAGATATATTTGTAACAGAAGGAACCATGTCCTGTACTTTACCATTAGACTATAGCACTGTGGCTTTGGAACCGGCTCACGTTTTCAGCTCTGGGTCTCACGGGGTTTGCGGCCTGATCTGTGGTGATCCCGGGTTGTGGCCTTAGGGGCGACGACTTAAATCCCAGCACAGGGTCATCCTTTACACTCGAGCTGGGCCGCAGAAAGGCTTCGACCCGGGTTCGTGCAGCATGGTCTGTGCATATACAGATCGACACATGCATGCAGCACAGCACACACAGCACACCCAGCACACCCAGCACACACAACACACTCAGCACACACATATATAGTGTGTGCAACACACACAGAAACACACTGTGCTGCTCAGAGATCGGGCTGATAGCACCCCTCCGAAGCCAGTTTTAGAGACTTGTGACTTGCAGCTTTGTACAGCCGTGCTGCGAAAAAGAGAGAATGCGAAGTGAGTGTGCTGTCCATGCAGACAATCCGATGAAGCCTGTAAGCTCTCTGAAGCCTTGCACACAAGCAACCCCTTATATATACACCCTTATAAACCCTAAAACCCTAAACCCCTAAACCCTTAAACCCCTAAACCCCTAAACCCCTATATATACAAACCTATATACTATATAGTTGTCCTGTGGCAGCCCCACTTTGCAACCTTGAAACCCCCAGCCTACCAACCATGCCGAGGGTTTGTCAGAAGTGCTGTTTGCAACGCAAGGTTGTGATGATGCCACTGTGCGGTGCAATGGTAGGAAGTTGAAGTTTCATTCGATTAAAACACATTATGACAACACACATGAAACAGCCAACTGCGCCTGCAGGGCAGTTTTGCTCGTGGGCAGCACATGTACATTTCTGGTTTTGCTGACAGGCGACATGTGCACGACATCATGCATGCATCTGCACCATTTATCATGGCATGCTCTCATATACTCGTTTGCTGCCAGCACATGCTGCTCGAGAAGCAACATTGAGAAGCAATTTTGTGTACACGTCCTCGATCACGGACATGAGCGGCAGCAGCGGCGAGTTTCCAGCTCCGATGTTCGAGCCCGACTGTGTCATGGTGCTGAATGTCACAGCATCAGTGCTCCCGGACACGATCAACATCACGGCGACATCCATGGGGGGGAACGTTGTGGCCGTGGTCCGCCACCCGAAGCCTAAGAGCTTGGCTATGGAGGACCTCAATCGCAAGATCAAAAGAGAGGCCATGAAGAACGGGTGGATCACGGTCCTGGACGGTGTGAGGCTGCTCGGCAAGCATAGCCGTGTGCTAAAGGGAACCACATCTTTGTGGCCCTCGGAGAAATGGAAGTTTCACTGGGCCCGGGAACTCGTCGCGAGGAAGCAAATCCTCAAAACAAAGGTGGACCCTCGAATTTGCATGTTGGCTCGCTACATCGCGGCTGACCCTTGAAGAAACGCCGGAGCAAGCACAAAGACCATGTGCACCGGATGCATGCATGCATGACATGCATGCACTTCACAACATGTCACACACATGCCTGCATGCATGGGGCTTGCTTGCATTTCAGGAACCGAGGCAGCTTCGCACTCAGCTTCCTGAAGTATATATAGGAGCCTATCCGTAAACCCATGGCCAGTGCATTGATCGAACAGATCAACACGGTGAGCAAGCTCACCCGAACGATCAAGGACGAGAAAAGCCGTGGAGATCTTCTATCCGCACAAGCAGTGTCCATCCGGGAGCAGATCATGAATGTGACACTGACGAGCAGTGATTGCGATCAGCTTGTAGAAGCCATTGATCATTCTGATTTCAGTGACGAAAGCAAGACCGAGCTCGGCAAGGCAGTTCTGCAGCAGCTGGGGAAAGCTGCTAGAAAGGTTCCCAAAAGGAGCAACCAGACGGTGGAGGATCTCGGCCCATTCCTGACGACGGCGGATGTGGAGATGCTGACCAATGTCGACATGACCCTTCTATCGAAAGTTCAAAGACTGGCGACTGTGTTGGCCCGCATCGGCTGTATGAATCCGACCGAGCCCACGTACGGCAAGGCTTTGACTCTGCTGAAGAACAACTTC